GTAACTGTCCTAGTCTTGTTCACAGCTTCAGGATCATAATACTCTTGAGTCTACTAACCAGTAACAACCTCAATATATCTTCACCTCTCGCATCCACCAAGTATATAGAAAGCATAAAACAACATGTACATATTTTTTAAGTAACATTTTTCACTCTCGTATTTTTGAGGATTCGTTTGTCGACCATCATATAAAACAATAAAATAGATGAAAGCACTCGAATATTTTGCACTGATACACATCAACGAATCTTTCGATCTATCCAATATACTAGTTTGAGGTATGTAACTTCTAGAAAAAACAACCTTTATTTCATCGAGAAGGGATCAAATCTGTTCATGTTAATCTTATATTCTTAGGTAGATATATTCTTTTTTTCTTTTTCCTTTCTTTGAACTCAATCTTCTTTTTTAAAATGTCAACTTTCGTGATCTCTCTCTGGAAAATAGTTTACTAATGACACTATATGCTACGAATCTCTTCCTTTTGAATGTGTGTAACCAACTTACTTCTTTTTATATTTTTATGGGTTTTGACGATTTTGTTACTGACTTAAGCTTCTCACGAGATTTATCCTCCGATGATTGAATCCGCACATATTACTTTTTCCACAACAATACTCATGACATGTTATTTTTACTCGTCTTTGTATTTTATTATTATAGATTTATATAATGATAAAGAGATATTTATGCGTTTAATACTAAAATTATTATGAAATATACTAAAAATATTTATGTAAGAAAATAGTTAACAAAAAGGAGTAAATAAGTTATTAAATTTAATTTTGTTCTTAACTTAATAATTGTTACTACATCAATTTTAAATATTGATATAAAATTTTCACATTAAAAAATATTCTCAATATATATATGGTGATTTTAGAAAATTTTATTTCGCAATAATATCGAATATACTGATAACACAACAACACCACCTAAACTTCTTAATACAACAAAAAAAAAACACCAAAATTAAGGGACAAGAATTCATAGAATTGCGGTTCATGTTTCACTATAGCCTAGTTACTTACATAAAAAATTCATAGCTGCAATTATACTTTTAAGGAAAGATAATTTTGCAAAGAAGAACGTTAAAGCGACCTAAGAAGATGAGACTGTTACAGGTCACTCTACAAATTGTTGGCAATTTCTGACTCATCTTCTTTATGACTTGTCCCTCTACTCGTTACTCCATTAATGTGCAACTGTATTTTGTGTATCGATTATTCATGACATTTTCAATAGCCAATCATCAATGTAATTTTAACAAACTTTAGATTATATTCGGTTTGGTGATTTGATATCTTCGGTGTTTTTTGAGCTTTAAAATAATCGAACCAATAGTTTTTTTCATTTGGTTTTGGTCCAAACAATCGTTTTATAAAACAACTCATCATTTTTTTGGTTTAATGTTAGTGTATTTTCATTTTGTTTTGGATTGGTGATTTCGGGGTTGATTGGAGAATAGACTGTTAGAGTTGTACTTTGATCTAATCAAATTATAACACATTAATAGTCTAACTGCTCTTTTTTGCTTATTATATAGGCCGTGTTCTTTTGCAAGTCGCGAGCGACAGCTTCCGGCGACTGAAAATTTCACTTCATTTCTTTTATTTCAGTCGCTGGGTTTTTTTTGTGGGAATTTTTCTTCTCTAGATTCTCTGTCGCTCGTGATAGTGTTGCCGCTGTAATTTTCAGCGATCGATATTAGCCGACGCGGCGACTCAACATCTCTTCATCTCTCATCGGCTTTCACCTGTAACTTATCGCTGGCTTGAAATTTAATTAAAAGTGAAGTTGTTTTTTGAGTCGCCCACTTGTGACGCAGCGGCACACAAAAGAACACGGCCTATGGCCTTGTTACTTTTTAAAAGCCAAGATAACAAGGCTTTAATTTTTTTTAAAGTCATAGCCCTTTGATTTAAAGTTATATTTTCTATAGTAATTTTTAAAATGAAGTCTCTGTCAATCATCCTCTTCGATGATAATGTTTTTTTCTATCCTAATTTGGTTTTGTCTTCTCAAAACCAAATTATGTTGGATAAATTCTTTCAAAAATATCGAATAAATTTATCGGTTTAAAAAAAGTCGACTAAGTAGTTTTTTTTTGAAAAAGAACAAAAACACTTACAACAAAGTAGAAAGGCTGGCTTCGTAACTGCATAAATTAGGAGGTCCGATATGAATTTGAGGGTTATAAAAGGAAAACAAAATAATTCAATTTAGAAAACAACAAATAAAATTTGATTTGGGAGACAACAAATAAATTTTCATTAACCAAAGGACGGTGGTTTAGTGGTTAAAGGTTCACTCTAAATACAATATTCTTTCGCTATGATTTCAATTATTTCTAACCATCTGTAAACCATTTTTTATTCTGGTTCTGGTTCGGTTTGGTTCTGGTTTGATTCGATTTGGTTCTGGTTCGGTTTGATTTTCTCGGTTACAATTTTTTTCTAATTTGGTTTGTGCAAAAACCAAAATATGCTGCAACGTCATCGTTTCTACTTACTCCGCGATTTCTCTTCTCAAGAACTAGAAAAAAAAAACCAAAACGACGTCATTTCTTATATCGTTGTGAGAGAGAGTGTGACGGCGGAGAGATATGGCGGCGTTGATGAAGTCAGTCGCCGGCCGAGCTTTAAAATTCTCATCGACGGCGAATTTCAGATCAAACCGATGCGACAAAACACCAACACTCTGTATCAAATCATTCTCCACCGTTATTATGTCACCACCGTCAAAAGCCATCGTCTACGAAGAACACGGCTCTCCCGATTCCGTCACCAGGTTCGTATATACGTTTACTCTGTGTTTACATAAACACACATAATCTCCATTTTTACATTTTGTTCTCTTTTGGTGAAAACAGATTGGTGAATCTCCCGCCGGTAGAAGTGAAAGAAAACGATGTTTGTGTTAAAATGATCGCCGCTCCGATCAATCCCTCCGATATCAATCGAATTGAAGGTTTATGTTCTCTAATTAGTCATTCACTTTGAGAATTGATAATAGCATCCTTAGACTTGATCGTCTCCATTTTTGTTTTTTTGGTCTCAAAGCTAAGAGTTAGATTATGAGTATGATTTAGATGATGAGTTTGATGTTTGGAAAAAGGAAAATGATGATTGTTTAGGTGTGTATCCGGTGAGGCCACCGGTACCAGCGGTTGGTGGCTATGAAGGTGTTGGGGAAGTTTATGCAGTTGGCTCCAAGGTTAATGGTTTTTCTCCTGGTGATTGGGTTATTCCATCTCCACCTTCTTCAGGTAATCTCTATGCTATATAGACCAATCTTGATTCGTAGGAGGAATCTGAAATTTCGATGACGTTATGAAGAGAGTGTTTGTTGGTGAAATCTCCATTAGTATGTTAAGTGAAACAAGAAAAGATGTGTAATGTAAAAGAGTTAAGTGGTTACCCTTTTGATTTGTGAAACTTGATGGGAATCTCTCTAGGGACTTGGCAGACGTATGTTGTGAAGGAAGAGAGTGTATGGCACAAAATCGATAAAGCGTGTCCAATGGAGTATGCTGCGACGATCACTGTTAATCCTTTGACGGCTTTAAGGATGCTTGAAGACTTTGTGGTCTTAAATTCCGGTTTGGACTGTCTCTTTCGTATCTGATGCAGTTGGTCTCTACCATCTTTTTCCTAACCAAGGAATTCTCTGAAACAGGAGATTCTGTGGTACAGAATGGCGCAACAAGTATTGTGGGTCAGTGTGTCATTCAGTTGGCAAGACTCCGTGGCATCAGTACCATCAACCTTATTCGTGACAGGTATAATATATTATGAATTGAATTTAAGATATTACTTGCGAACAATCAAAGCGGCTCTAGTCAAGTTAACTGTCCTGTGCTACTGATTTTAGGGCTGGGTCGGATGAAGCAAGAGAGCAGCTCAAAGCTCTAGGTGCAGATGAAGTGTTTTCGGAGAGTCAACTGAATGTAAAGAATGTGAAAAGTCTTTTGGTAAGATTTAACTCTGGCAATTCTACAGCAGAAATTTCTGAGTATCCGAAGCTTAACATATTTGTTTTTGTGGTCTAGGTTAACTTACCTGAACCAGCTCTGGGATTCAACTGTGTTGGTGGCAATGCTGCCTCTCTTGTGCTCAAATATCTCAGGTGCAGTGAACATATCCGTTTTTACGCACTTTTATTTAGTTGAACGAATTCCCGCTGTTCTGAAGGTTGTGAATACATAAATATTTCAGGGAAGGAGGAACCATGGTAACATATGGTGGGATGTCTAAGAAGCCAATCACTGTGTCAACAACATCTTTCATCTTTAAGGTAATCGTTAGATCATTCGGAAAAATAAAACTGGCATCAGTATCTCCTAGAGTAGTAATTTAAAATCTTCATTCAAAGTTTCTACTTTCTCTCACTTGAAAGTCGTTGGCCCTAACAGGATTTGGCCTTGAGAGGATTCTGGCTACAGAGTTGGTTGAGTATGGGTAAAGTAAAAGAATGCAGAGAGATGATAGACTATCTCCTCGGGCTTGCACGAGACGGAAAGCTAAAATACGAGTTAGTCTTTTTCTTAAATAAAAATTCTTACCTTCCATGAAAAACTATCTTCAATTACCATTTAAATCAACAATTGGTTTCTTCTGACAGAACGGAATTGGTTCCCTTCGACGAGTTCCCTGTTGCTCTCGATAAAGCTCTTGGGAAGCTAGGTAGGCAACCTAAGCAAGTCATCACATTCTAAAGCTTCCTTCGCCTGAGCCATTTAGTAACTGTTACCACTCTGTTAGTGTTAGCTATTAATATGATAATGCATGATGTACTTTATTATTCGGTATCTGCTTCTTCTTGTACAATGTATCAGAGAAAACAATGAGAATGTAGACTGAATAAAACCAAAATAAATCATTATGCTCATGTTCAGATTGTAACTCCATGGTCATGTGTTGATTTATTACTCTTGTTGAAAGAGATAACTATCAAATTATCAGAAACTCACTTGGTATTGCAATGATTTGTTATATAATATTCATTTTACAATTATTCATATAATTAGAGTCTGCAACTGTAAACTAATAATGAAACAGAACACAACATGAATCAATTAATAGCAATTATAATACTTTACCAAATACTACAAAATACTACATTTACCAATACTACAAAAACAGAAATCAGTGTTAACAATTTAAGCTTTAAAATCAACTTAAATCAATCAGTCATAAACAAAACCGTTATGAGAAAAATGTACATCCGAATAGAGAAACGGATGATTCATGAGTTCATTGATCCTCCATCTTGAACCGGGCTCCTTAACAAAGCATCTCCTCAAAAAATCCTGAGCTTCTTCCGATAACCGACTCGATATACGAGGAATGAGATCACTGTGACCGATGAGCTTAACCCAATCATCAAGAACCAAATCACCATGCTCTCCCCAAACCATTTGCCCGGTTAGCATCTCCAAAACAGAACATCCAAACGCCCAAATGTCAACACCAAAATCAACAACCCCATGGCCTATTAACTCCGGAGCCATGTACCTAGTTGTCCCTCTCATATGACCACATCCATTCCCATACTCCACCGAACCTTTGTCCATTGATAAACCAAAATCAGCAATTTTAATCAGATACCCATTAGACCTAAACCGGTGATCAACAGGGCTGAGTAAGAGATTGTCTGGTTTAATGTCACAATGAACAATGTTTCTCCTGTGAATGTAACTCAGACCAGATAGAACATCTCTAGAGAACTGCTTCACATCAAACTCAGACAACCCTCCGTGATTATCTTCGATCAAATCCGCAAGACACTGTCCAGAACAATACTCGAGAACTAAGTTATATACATGACCTGTCCCTTCTCGTGCAATCTCATCGCCGTAGCAACTAATCACGAACGGAGATTGTAAACGTTTTAGGATCCTTGCTTCGTGCATAAGACTCGAAGCCTTTGAAAGCTCTGCACTTTTGATGGCTCTCTCTGTTTTGTATCTGTCGTCTTTACACGTCGCTAGGTAAACAGACCCGTAACCCCCTTCCCCAAGTAACCTAGATTTCACCCAAGAGGAAATCTTTTTAACTCCTCCGTGGCGGGTTACGGTGGTGGAACGTTTCTGAACAGCGGCGTTGAATGATCCTCTGCTTACCTCTTTGAGACTTTTAGTACTACTCTTCTTCTTCTTCTTTTTCAAAGGCTGTGTAAATTTCTTCTTTTTAATGGTCCTCGAACAACGTCGTAGATGGAGAATGATCGGAGAGAGTTTCACAGTGAAAATAGGGTTTTGAGGACGAGGAGGGATCATAGAGTTGTTGCTTGACGATGAATCAGAAATCTCAATAACACTCGTCGTCGGTGAATATTTAGGTTTTTTGAGAGGTGAGTTTGAGAAATCTTTGAACTTGACCTGACCATATCGTTTGAAGTAAGAAGACATTGAAATCTCAGACTCAATATCCATTCTTCTCTCGCTTTCTCTCTAAGTTTGTGATACAAGGATTATTTATAAACTTCTGTTATGTTTCCTTTTTTTTCTCACTAAGAAAAATGGAAATACATACAGTAGTTTGGGTTCTTGATTGGAAAACGGAAATACATTAGATAGCCCACGTGAGAGATTAATTCTTGTTGAATTTTTATTTTTTTAATTGATTTTGATAAAACCTGAAGAACATGACATATTAATCTAGGCTAATTTTTAATAATAAAACTCCAAATTAATTCTCCAAACCTATATGAACTCTATTGTTAGGTTCGTATATATAAGTTTTTCTCAAACCAATCTCCCTTAAAAAAACGATTTGTCAGTTCTACAAAGAAGTAGGTATGTGCATAGTTTCATATACTTCATAATATTCTTGCAAAGTTATTTAATGATTTAGTCTTTGCTAAAGTTCTTTGAAAAAAGTTATCTAGCAAAGTATAGTTCTTTGGTGAAGTAATTTAGATTTTAATTTATAGTTGTTTAATTGATAGTTTCGCAAAGTTATTATATATATATTTGTTTGGTAAGTCTAAACAAGTTTTTTTTTTCGTCTGGTACATTTACGAAGTCTAAAATTTCACACACATGTTATATTCGAATACGTATATGTAATTGTGAAATGGCATTTTTTTTTTCCTCACACTCTTCCAAATAAACACGGAGTCTCAAAATTATTTTGTAAACCATGTTCAATTTTTTTTATTAAAAGTATATTTGATGAGTTAAATAGTTTTCAAAACATTAATGTAGGCCTTTTAGTATGTATATTTTTAAAAAATAGAATTATAGGTTCCACTTTATATACAGATATAACTTTTTAAACATTTTTCTCTTACACTTTTACTGATGAATAAATAGTTATGACAATCTACTAGTAGACCAATCACATTTGTTACAGTAATAAAGGCAAGAAATGTATAACAAGTAACATAATTTTCTTATAACTAAAAATTTATGAGTGGCGAAAAAAAAAAAAAAAAACTAAAAATTTATGAGTATAATTTAAAAAATGTATAACAAGTAACACATATTTCTTAAAACTAAGGTTAAAACTATTTGATTTTTGTATGTCCTCTTAGGTATTTTTATTTGTGATTAAATTTCTAATTTGTGACTTTAGTGACATGAGTTAATAAATGATAAGTGGGCAACAACCCAAAAATCCAAGTGACCGACCACATTGGGGTTGCCATATTTATTTGTTCTGACATTTGAATTTGAATTTGAAGATTCTTATTGATAAATTAGTGTGATAAGGCATTTGCTAGTTTGAAAGAATGTGACAGAAACTACAAATCATCTATACTATTAATTGGGAATCACTAAAATATAAAAAACTTTTTAGTTGTAAAATATTACATAGAATGCCATTAAGATAATTGCATTCAAAAAGTTAACCAAAAAAATGGTAAGAAGGTACAAAATAATTTGAAAGTAGTATATTCCATTGACACAATCAAAACTAATATTTCATATATATATTTCGGAAATATAGGAGAATATTCCAATACAAAAATCAATATAATTAACAAATTTTCCATAACTAAACGGATTAATAGTATAACTATTCCATAACTACGTGAAATCTATAATTATGCCCATTAAATTGAATTTAGTTACCATAAGTAATAATATACACCAAACTAAATTTTAGAAGTACTATCGGGTATATCGCATAGGGACGGGACCTGAACGGGAAATTCAAATTATTAATATACAAAAATTTAATTCTCTATAATTCAGAAAATATCGGATATGGGACGAGAACGGGTATTTAGAAAATGAAAAATACTATCCAAACTATTCTCGATAAAATCCGGGACGAGAATTATGGGTAACGGGACGGATCTGAAATTTTGGGTAGCTAAATTCAATTCTCAAACTCTCACTAACATTAAATACACAAACGAAAAGTACATGAAATACGAGGTTTTCATTAGAATTTCATACCTATTTCCTTATCTGTTGGACTAAAATATACAACCCTAAATGGATAATTTTTTTTTAAAACGGTTATGAGATAGAAAGGTCCTGACATATATGGGACGGGACGGGACATGTTTTCTATCTCAAAATGGACATACCACATTTCTCTGATTATCTTTTTTTAGTGTAGTTGTCTCTTACTCATAACAAAATAAATCTGATTACTCTTTTTCCAAATTGAAACCAAACCGGACACTAAACTGATATGAATTTGGATAATAAAATGTTATACCAAACAAATAAGTCTGTTACCATATTCCCGCACGAACGTGCGGGTCCGAATCTAGTTGTCTTATAAGGATGAGTGTGATTGTGGAGAGAGGATTTGTGACTTTTTAAAGTCTTTTAATAGTTAATACCTTCACTACATACTTCTTAGGACATCTCCATCAATTTGGCAAATAAATAGTTAATGTCGTTTTTAATTAACGTTTTTTGTAGGAAATGAAAATGATCCAGTCGTCATAAAGTCTGGTCACTAAAATTAATTTCGTTATGTTATGATTTTCTAAATATGGTTATCTGGGATCCGAACATAATAAAACCGAATCAAAGACCTGATCCACAAAGATTTTTGACCAAAATCCCTAGCAAAATTGTATATATAGATATATGGGTTGTATACAAGGAAATATTGATGTTGCGTTAACACTATTACAAAATATGAATATGAGAAGACATTCTCATTTGACGCATATGATTGGGCGTTTTAAATGTGGTAAACGTTAAATGAACCGTTTCAAATAGTATGGTAATCCAGAATTATCTTTATTATTAGAAAAAAACAATGATTCCAATTTGTCACATGAATATTCAAAGAAGAAGTTTTTTTACTCAGTTAATTTGTCAATATAACTATAAATATATGAGATCTTGTAAATGTTTATTTTTTTGTTATAGATGTAATTTACGTCATCAAATTTTATGTTTTTTCGAATATATATAATAGAATAAATATTAATTTTATATTTAAAGAACAGTGGGCAAACAAAAACACCAATTCTCGGGCGAAGTTTTTAGTCACCCACATGTCATTATGAGTACCAACTCCATCCAAATTTTTGGGTTTAGACCGCTAGAATTTCTCATTTCTATATTATAACTCTTCGTTATGTATTTTGGTCACTTATAAATAATTTAACATTCATAAAAAATGTTTCAAAAGTATTTTTAATCATAATTCTTCTTTTTTACATTTTTATTCATAATTATTTTAACATCTTTGGAAAATATTTAAATTTATATATTTGAGTATATTATTATAATAATTTAATACATAAACACAATCAAATATATTAGTTGAAAATGAGTTCTCCCGCGATATCGCGGGGGTACATAACCTAGTAAAAATTAATATTGACTCATAAATAATTTTTTTTATCAGTGACAAAACATAAATAATAGATTTAATTGCAAATTATTTTTATCCAGTTTACCAATAAATTTTGATATTTAATTTGCAAATTATTCTCCGGTTTGCTTTGTGGATTCGTTCTAATCTCCACAACAGTTCACTTCCAATCTTTGCCAATACTTTTTAGCCACTAAAATTTCAGAGAATATCGATTTATCTGAAATTAGGATTCATCGATTTGGGAATTTGGAGATTTTGGGGATTTAAGAGTCTGAACGATTTAAGGTTAGCGACATAAAGTCTGGTTATTTTTTGAAGAAATCGTGTCTTTTGAGCGATAAAATCTTGCTGTTTTCAGTAAGCAAAAACACAACATTTAGTGTTTTAATGACAATGTAGATAGGCATGGCCAATATCAAACCGTAACCATATTTTGGAATGTAACCGTATAAGATGGTTAAAAACCGTAACCGCTAACCATAAATATATGGTTAAAATGGTATTAATCCTAAATAGCTTTTTGGGAATTTTCTGAGTAGTGATCTTGAGTGATTAAGGGTTGTGTTCAATGATGTTATTTAGGGTTGCTTTAGTTGAGTAGAGGTTATGTAATAATTTGATGATGATCGTGAGTAGATATGTTATGTATGTTGGTTTAAGCTTGAAACCGACATTGACGTGAACCGCAAGTCATCGGTTTACTTATGAGATAAAGCCAAATCTTTAGGAGTTATCTAGAAGATTCATTAGAGTCCTAATCGAGTTATGATTAGGTCAAGTGTTGAGACTATATAAGCATATGCCGTGTGTGTGGTAAAGCTTATGAGTTGTTTGAGAGTTTTGGTTTTGAGAGAGATTAAGAGAGAGTTTGAGTTTTGAGTTATTTTCTTAAACTAATAAAGTGAGTTATACTTTAAAATCTTGTTGATCTTAAAACCACAAATCTCGTTCTACAATGTAATCGCCCTAAATCACTTGAGTAGAGAGGTTAGCTCTGTTTCAGTGATGGGTTGCTTCATTTGACATTGATTATTAATTTATCTTTGTGATGAATTTGTACAGATTTTTCTTCAGTGATGGGTTAGACTCATATTTGTACACATCTTAATTTTTTAAATACGAAAAGACAAAACCAAATCTCCTTTTAAGATTCTATCATCGCAAAAGATAAAACAACAAAATTATTAAATAAGCAAAATGTTTAATATAATATAGAATCAATCACGGATTTGCTACTTCTCTAATGGCATTTATGGATTTTGCCATTTTTTGAATAATTTACAGATTTTGCCCTTTTTCAGGTTACAAAAATGTGATTTCACATTCTTTTAGCCGTTATGTTTGAGTTTAGTCGATTTCATTTATTCTATGGTTTAATATTTGGTATAAAATACGTAGTTTAAAAAAATCGTAAATACCTACATTTAAGTGTTAAAAATTGGCAAATCCATAAATTTTTAGTAAAAATGGCATTTTTCAAAAGATTTTGCTAAAAAATAGTAAACTAGACAAGAATCCCTATAATATAATGCTAGTACATCATTTTCTCAGCATTTTTTCGACTTATGTTTCTCTATAAACTTTATCTTCATCTCTAAAAAGACACAATTGTTATTAAGTAACGCTATACCACGGGACAATTTTTGTTTTATACAATCTTGTCTAAATGAGGTTGATTCGATATGTCTAATATTTAAGTACCAAGTACAAAATGTACTTCAAACATACTAATATAGATACTACTGTGGTAATTCATATCTCAAAAAATCATTAACTCAAAATACTATCTAAACTTGTGAATTCGTACAAAATTATACACGTGTCATTGCGGTGACAAGAAACAATTCAATTTTGATGACGTGGACGCCACATGTGAAACGAAGTGGATGCCACCTCACAGTGTTGGTTAAACAATTTTTTTGTTATCTCTCAATTTCGAATTATTTGTTAAATTTTGCCTAAACATTTAAACATATACATATATATATTTTCTCTCTCTTGAATTCTCCAAAACTCCTATAATCTCTTTGCCTCTTCTTCCGCTATCAAACCTCACCAAAAATCCAATATTATTGACTAAGGTGGTGTTATTCAATGATGGATTTTAATAGAATTGAAATCCAACACTAATCCAGTGTTATTAACCTAATGATTCTAAATCTAACTCTAATAGATTTTAAAATTTGGTGTTATTCAACTAAGATTTAAAATGCTTCATTAAAATCCAGTGTTATTCAAAACTAAGGGGGTGTTATTCATTCATGGAGTTAAAGTCAATTCTTAAAGGTTTAGATTTGATTTCTGATATTGTTTTTAACAATCTGTTTGTGTGGAGTTCAAAATCTCTGCAGTATATCTTGGATTATGATTCTAATAATTTACTCATGAAATCAAAAGATGTTTCATTTCAAATGATTTGATATACAAAGATTTTACAAGTCTTTTAGTTTTGAATAACACTGGATTTTAATGAAGCATTTTAAATCTTAGTCGAATAACACCAAACTTTAAAATCTATTAGAGTTAGATTTAGAATCATTAGGTTAATAACACTGGATTAGTGTTGGATTTCAATTCTATTAAATCCATCATTGAATAACACCAACTAAAAGACTTGTAAAATCTTTGTATATCAAATCATTTGAAATGAAACATCTTTGGAGTTTCATGAGTAAATTATTAGAATAATAATCCAAGATATACTGCAGAGATTTTGAACTCCACACAAACATATTGTTAAAAACAATATCAGAAATCAAATCTAAACCTTTAAGAATTGACTTTAACTCCATGAGTGAATAACACCCCCTAAGTGATTTATAAAAGTACTTTAAAATCCACTATTATTGGATACATTGTAACCATTGAATTTTTAATGACTTTAAAGAATTTAGATGATTTATTTAGTTAAAAATACAAATATCCAAATCTCACGTTGGTTAGGATTTAACAACAAATCATAACAACTTCCCAAAATTTTCTGAAATTCACCTAAAATCCTCTAAATCATCTAAAATTGATTAAAGCTCAAACTGATTTAAAATATTGATTGAATAATATATATATATATATATATATATATATATAAATAATATTACGTTTAATAATGTTAAGTTTTGTATTGTATTTAGTAGATATAAATACCGAAATAACCCCTTTTTTGGGTGGAAATACTTAAAAAAACCTACTTTAGACATAAATAAATAAAAATATCAACGAGACTGCCTCCAGAATTGGGAAAAAATGGGTTGAAAAACCCTCACCTTTTTAAAAAACATAAAACAAACCCTCACCTTTTTTGTGGGTTTTTAAACTCTCATCTTTTCATAAATAGTAAAATAAACCCTATTATTAATAAACTCAATTTAAATTCAAGCAAACCGTTATATTAGACATAATATATATAAACAATTTGATTTAAGATTTTTCTTTTAAAATTCTAGTTTACAATCTTTTTTCTAAACTGAAAATTTTTAAGTCATGATGTAAAAAAATTAATTGTATTCGGTTATGTTACAAAAATTCATCAATGTGAAACCAAACAGATTTTGTTAGGAATAATATATAAATTCTTATATTGAACTGAATATGAGTTTATGTTAATAAAAGTTTATTCGGTTCAATCACACAAATTTTCTAACGTAAAACCAAACCAAATTTTATAATACTATGAATTTCCACATCAAAATATTTTCATCGGACAAACTAAATAAAATTTACTAACAGTTAATATTTCTATATACATATTACGATAAATTAAAAAATAATATAAATTACATATAGTTAATAATTATTTAACTATATTTTTATCCAAATCCTGAAAACTCGAACAAAAAAAATCAAATGTGCTATCTTATAAATTTTGGTAGTTTATATAACATAACTTCTAATGGTAACAAAATGATTTGCTTAATTTCAATTAAATTGTGAATGAATTTTTATAGCGCAAAAACCTTAATTTTAAAAAGGAAAATTGCAAACTCGAATTTGAAAAAAATCATAAATTAATTTTTTTTTGTTTCTTATTGTTTTAATATGACTATTTAAAAAAAAAACAATTTGAGTTTATTAACATTAGAGTTTATTTTACCACTTATGAAAATGTGAGAGTTTTAAAACCCAGAAAAAAAGTTGTGAGATTTTTAACATGTTTTAGGAAAGGTGAGGGTTTTTTAACCCATTTTTCCTCCAGAATTGTGTCTCTTGCCGATTAGTCGTCGCGTTTTGCTCTGCACGAATCTAAAACCTAAATTCTCAAAAGCCAAATTTTTGCGTCCCTTATGCTTCATATGTTGCGTGGGTTCTAAGAAAAATCATACCTTTCGTTTTGGTAGAAACATGATCGAATCTATGCTTAAATTAGTTTGATAAAAAATTAGGTTCTCACGAATTTGGCAAGTTCTATTTGACTCCAATTGTTTCACAGTTCTTCTTCCTCATTGAATCTTATAATCGTTTTATGTCATTGCAGGCTTTATAGCTCTACTTCTCGAAACAAGAGTAGATACGTAATTATGGACTCGAGAAAAAAGGTGGCTGAGGAAAAGAATGTTTCGAATAAAGGTTAATACTTAATACTACTCTTTGCTGAAATTTCCTAGATATTGTTTTTGTTCACTATAAATTTTTCAATTTTTTTTGTTTGTGTGGCCTTTGTTTATGGATGTCAGGGATTCAAAACAAAGTGAAGAACACTATGTCCATAGCATCTAAGAGATATAACATTGATAGTTATATCTTACTAGACCTTGATAAGGTATTAGATGATGTCTACTGCTCTTTTCGACCGGTTTCTGCTGATTACGATACTAGGAAGGAACTGGTAAAAAACCTTAATGCTATGGCTATAGATATTTATGGTAATATAAGATTTATTTGTAGTCTTTTTATCTTATTAAGCTCGACCGATATCGATATTCAGCAGAGGTTTTATTTGTTTTTTGTTTATTAGGTAAATCAGAAGAGAGCAGACCGGTCCTTGAGGCGTATGGGTCTTTCGTGATGGATACGTTTTCCCCGCAAAGGGATTTGGATGTATCTATTAACTTTGGTAGTGGAACATCTGAACTTTCTCGTGTAAAGAAGCTCGAAATTCTTGAAAGATTTGCAACGAAGCTCCGCTCTTTGGAGGGTACGTTTAACAGAATGAAATTAAATTTCACAGCCACTGGAAGCTATAAAAGTGTATGCCAATTGCCAATACATGTCATGAAACTATAGTGACAAGTGAATTAATATAACATTCTTAAAATGATGAGTTTCATATATATCTTGCCTACACTTCTTTTGTAGGGCAAGGGTTTGTTAGGAATGTTATACCTATCTTCAATGCTAGGGTGCCAATTGTCAAATTCTCTGATCAAAGGACTGGTATTGAATGTGATTTGGCAGTCGAAAGCAAAGACGGCATTTTAGTTTCAAAGATCATTCGTATTATATCTCAAATTGATAATAGGTTTCAAAAACTTTGTATGTTGGTAAGATTTCAGTTTCTATTCTAAACCTTTTCGTTTTTCCTTGTAGCACTAATGGCTTGTGAGACAAGCACTGTTAATTGTTTAGTACTAATGTGACTATTGTCATATGTCAGATTAAGCATTGGGCCAAAGCACATGGGGTTAACAATGCGTCACACCATACCCTCAATTCGATATCTATAACACTGCTCGTCGCTCATCATTTACAGGTATAAACTCAGTTAATCTTGTTGGATTATTTTAAGGAGAATTTCGAGTTTCATGATGCCAATTATGTAGTTTATTTGGTTTAATGGGGAATAATTTTGTCTCTTTTTCATCTTTCTGATGTATTTTTACTTGTTGGATTAAAGTGTTAGGTTTTCTTTTCTTCGCGACAAGTTGCATGTAACTATCGGTTCATATACTATACAGGCTTATGAGGAACTTTGAATGACTAAATGCTTCTCTCTTTTGTCTTATGTAGACTCAAAGTCCTCCAATTTTACCTCCATTCTCTACATTATTTAAAGGTAATATTTGTATCCACACTTAAAATAAAGTAAAAGAGAACTATATATATGATGGTTTTGGACTGGTTATTTGTTTTCTAGCAGATTCAACATTTATCATCCTTTTCTTCTTGTTTTTGCTTATGTCTTTTCGCAGATGGAATCGATCCTCCTAACGTGGAGAAAATAACACAAAAGTTCTTAAACTGGGGACAACGTAATCAAGAATCTCTTGGTAGACTGTTTGCAACTTTTTTTATTAAGGTACTATCTTTTTTTTTCCTTTAAACCCAAAACATCAATTAAAATGAAGCTTATTTGTTATAACGAAATAAATATTTTCTGTCTTACAGTTGCAATCTGTAGAATTCCTTTGGAGGCAAGGGCTTTGCGCCAGTGTGTTGAATGGTTTTTGGATATCCAAAAAGAGGAAAAGAGATGTTATTAGTGTAAACTTTTTTCTGTAAAAATCTATTCAGTAAAATTTCATTCACATTGTTACTTTTTTTTGTCTTTAAGTATTTTTTTTTTGTTTCTGTGTGTGTTATATAGGTTGAAGATTTTACAGACGTGTCTAAAAATTTTGCAAGGGTGGTTAGTGTCAAAGGAGCCGAAAAGATATACAGTTCCATAAACAGAACCGTTGATGACATTTTGGAATTCCTCAATGGCAAGGTCGCTGGAGAACATCTCACACAAAAGTTGTTTAGCCAACAAACTGTTGTGGAGCCTTCTCCTACTGTGTCGCCACAACAACCTCATAACAAAAGAGTCTGCTTGGAAAAGGGGTACAGAGCTGTAGGAGGAACCGGTAACGGGAGAGAGGAGATATACGAAAATCCTAGAGGAAAACGAAAGACGTATGCTGGAAGAAACGGGAGCTGTAGGTTTAGTGGTGGTGAAGAACCAATGCCTGTGGGTCTGTGGCATGACTACAGTCGAAGTCTTGATATGCCACCACCACCAGCACATTATGATCGATAGAATTCTTTTTAAGAAATTTGGTCTTTACTAATAGGGTTTATGTAACTTGTGTCTTAAGATAACTTAACTTTTATTATTCTTTATGGTATCAAAAGTCAGGTAAATTTATCTGATCATAGACGTTATACGATAATGATTACAAAAGATTAATTTTGACTATCAAAGTAATACAAAAGATGCTTGAGTGAGATTTTGTTGACTAATAAAAATCACCTTAAAAGAGTTAAATCCCAGTTATTGTAGTCAAAGATAAAAAGAAAGACTTCAATTATTATATTTCTACAAAATCATATATATAAAAGGAGGTGAACTCTCTCCATCCTTCTGACACCTCATCACTTAAGGAGAGGACACGTGTATTTGGGAAAAAAAATCATTAATAGCACATTAAAGAATTCAAAACTCAGCAAAATCTAACCGAAGATAAAGTCTAAATTTTGGTTTTCGATAACTATTTCTCTCTCTATAATCAATTTCTTTTTAGGTTTAAGACTCTCGGCGAACTGTTGAACTTGTCAAGAACACCTAATTTGTGTAAAGGTTTTCTTAATCTTATTCATACGGCCAATGTGGCTTTTATACAACATACACAAAAACGTTTAACCTAATTCCTTTGTACACTAATAGCTTATGGGCCAAGTAATAACATATCGAGGTCCATTTAGCTAAATACAAGCCCATAACATCCGTAATACCCCCCCTCAAGTTGGAGTATGGAGATCACGAATACCCAACTTGAGTAAAAATTCTTCAAACTCCCGTCGACCAAGAGCCTTAGTAAGAATGTCCGCGAGTTGTTGCTTTGTAGGAACATGATGCGGATATATGACGCCTCGGACTATCTCATCACGGATGAAATGATATTCTTTGGCAATGTGTTTCGTTCTCGCATGATTCACCGGGTTCTTACTCAAATGAATGGCGGACATGTTATCACAATAGAGAGGAATAGTGTAAGAACAATCCACCCCGAGAGTCGTGAGCAATTCCCGTAGCCACAAGACTTCACTAACCGTGTCTCCCATGGCCTTGTATTCGGCTTCAGTTGAAGACCGAGAAACCGTATCCTGCTTCTGTGTTTTCCAAGACAAAGGAGAGCCACCAAGTTGAATAAACCAAGCTGTGAGTGAACGGCTAGTGTCAGGACAAGTTGCATAATCCGAATCACACCAAGCCGTAATCTTCAAATCACCACCAGCCCGTAAGAAAATGCCCTGTCCCGGATTGCCCTTCAAGTAACGTATGACCCTTAGTACAGCATCCCAATGCTCTGTTTTTGGTGCATTCATAAACTGAGAAAGGAGATGAATCGCGTATGATAACTCAGGTCTCGTATGGGCCAAATAAATGAGACGTCCAACCAAACGACGATAACGAGACGGATCCGGAAACGCAGCACTCGTTGTAGTTGCGAGCTTATGATTCTGTTCAATAGGATGCGAAGCCGGTTTTGCTCCAAATAACCCCGTCTCAGAGAGAAGATCCAAAATGTATTTTCTTTGACTCAAATACATACCTTGAGGACCCCGAGCCACTTCAATACCCAAAAAATATTTTAACCACCCGAGATCTTTCATCTTGAAAGTAGAGCACAAATAGTCTTTGAACTTCTGAATAATATCCACGGAGCTGCCGGAGACGATGAGGTCATCGACATAAACAAGAACATGGAGTCTAAGATCACCATTCGCATCCTCAAGTGTGAATAATGAATAGTCAGAAAGTGATTGTTCAAAACCATATTCTTTTAAAGCCGTAGTAAGCTTCGCAAACCAACATCTAGGAGCTTGTTTAAGACCATATAAAGACTTGTGGAGACGACACACTTGTGTCTTATCATCAGTCCGAAAACCCGGAGGAAACCGAATGAATACTTCCTCATCCAAATCGCCGTGGAGAAATGCGTTGTGGACGTCCATTTGATGGACTTCCCAATCACGTGAAACAGAAACATCAAGGAAAGCTCTCACGGTCACCATTTTGCACACGGGTGCAAATGTTTCTGTATAGTCAAGTCCCTCCGTTTGGTTATTTCCGAGAACTACGAGACGTGCTTTGTATCGTTCAAGTGAACCATCGGATCTATATTTCAATGTGAAAACCCACTTACATCCAAGAGCTTTCTTCCCCGGAGGTAGTGTTTCCACAGTCCAAGTACCTTGTTCTTCGAGAGCGTCGATCTCACCGCGGACAGCATTGCGCCAATTCTCATCCTCAAACGCTTCAGCATAGGTGCGTGGGATGACACCAGCAGTAATGGCAGCGAGAAACGCTTGATGATGCGCAGAGAATTGATCACAATTGATGTAAGAGTCAAGTGGGTACCAAGAGGAATCAACAAAATCACTATCGGATCCACTATGTGTCGTATTAGTGACATAATCATGAAGCTTGACCGATGGGAATTTTTCACGACATCCTTTTCCCATACGAGGTGCAGTCTCAGCCGTATGAGCAGGTGGAGTATCAGTCTCATCAAAAATCAGCCTTGGTAGAGGAGATTTAGAAGTGATAGACTGTCGCGGAGTCAACGTAGTTCCAGGGGAGATCGGCTCGGGCTGAAACGGAGGAGGTGTGTCTCGTGGTGGAAGACGAGATATGGGAGGAGTAATAGGATCCTCATGAATGTTCGTAGTAGGTGGAGCAGAGAGTAGTTCCATAAACTCATCACCATCATTGGTATGTGACGAGGACAAGATCAATGGAGACGTAGCCGGAGAGACATCAACAGCGGGCTGAGCAAATGGGAAATCATTCTCAAGAAATATAACATCTCGAGATGTAGAAATCACCCCAGTATCTAAGTTATAGACCTTCCATCCCTTCTTCCCGTATGGATACTCAAGAAAAACTGATTTATTGCTGCGGGAAGCAAACTTATCACCACCATGTTTTTGATTATGAACATAACATAAACAACCAAAAACACGTAGATGATTCATAGGAGGTGGACGTTGGTAGAGTAATTCAAATGGAGTCTTCCCTTTTAGAATCATAGAAGGCGTGCGGTTAATCAAATAGCCGGCTGTGAGAGCGCAAAAACCCCAAAATTCAACCGGTAAATTTGCTTGAAAACGAAGAGCTCGTGCAACATTTAGGATATGTCGATGTTTGCGTTCGACACGTCCATTTTGCTGCGGAGTACCAACACACGATGTCTCGTGAATAATTCCTTTTTCCCGAAAAAAATCACCAAGGCTAAGAAACTCGGAACCGTTATCACTCCTTAGGGTTTTCAATTTCTTATCAAATTGTCTCTCAATCAAAGAGATATAACCACGTAGTGTAGATGCTGTCTCCGTTTTATTTGGTAACAAATAAATCCAAACGGCCCTTGAAAAATCATCGACAATAGTGAGAAAATATCTTGATCCACAAATCGATGTTGTTCTATACGGTCCCCATAAATCACAGTGAACTAACTCAAAAACTTCAGAAGTTTTATTAATACTCAAAGGAAAAGCGTCACGTGTTTGCTTAGCACGAATACAAACGTCGCAAGACTTAGAATCAAAACTACTACTACTAGAATTTGATAACTTGAGCATCTCCATTGTTTTAGAAGCTGGATGACCTAAACGACAATGCCACACATCTACCGATTGCACGTCCATGGCATGAATCATCATTGTGTCTCCCAATCCTCGAAAAAAATAGAGTCCATTCAATTCCTCACCAGCCCCAATCAGCATCTGTGTGATGCGGTCCTGAACCACGCAAAGCTTATCAGAAATCTGGAAGAGACAACCACGGTCGCGAGTTAGTTGAGAAACCGATATAAGATGACATTGCAATCCATCAACAAAGAACACATTAGTCAACTGAAGATGTGATCCTAAACTGACTTTCCCTTGTTGATTTGCCACAGTAAACCGACCATCGGGAAGCTTGATATATACGGGAGCCATAACACTTATTTCCGTAAGAAAATCAACACTCCCTGTCATGTGATTCGAAGCACCAGTATCTATAATCCAAGATTCAAGAAAGTACTTACCAGATAAGCGAGAGGAGCCGCCGGGATCTCTCTCATTCAACATGTTTTTAAGCGTCTTCCACTGCTGGTCGCTTAAGCCCACGAACCCCGTACGGTCAGCCTCTGTGATCATCGTGTTTGCTGAGGCTACTTGAGGTGAAACAGCAACACAATTTGCTTGGACCGAATCAACACGTTTTGGCTGCGAAGTCGTCACCGGTTTGTCACGCTGATCAAGAGATTGACTCGCAGGAGCAGTTTGTGAAGAGGCTGGTAATTTAGAGCGAGGACGATCTCCCCACCACCATGGATATCCAATCTTGCGAAAGCAATTCTCAGCCAAATGTCCTGTTCTTCCACAGCTTATACACACGGCTGAAGGATCACGAACTTCTTTTTGCGGGTAAGAGCGAGGAGATATACGAACTGCGAAGCTAGCACCCTCATTTCTTTCTTCCAACAACCTACTTCCACGCTTAGACTCTTCATCTTGAGTCACGACCTGATACGCTTCATCAATTGATGGCAGAGGATCCCGTGACAACAGAGAGGACTTCACCGCACCAAACACTGTTTCATCAAGTCCCATCAAAAATTGATGCAACTTATCTTCTTCTCTTTCTCTTGCGATTTCTTCAGCTATTTTTGCTCTCTGGAAATCGGCAAGGCTACTCCACAATTTCGTAAGACGACCGTAATAGGCTTCCACGGCCGTTCCCTTTTGTTGGCAATTCGCCAACTCCATCTTAATTCTTTGGACTCTCTGTCCATTCTTCACCGAGAAACGCTTCTGTATATGCGTCCACAAGTCATGAGCAATCTCATGGTGAGAGAGCGAGCTGCTCAGGTCCGGAGCCACCGTAAGCTTTATCCAAGACACCACCATAGCATTATTTGCCCACCAGTCTTCGAGATCGTCTGAATCTTCATCCGGTTTAAGAATAGAACCATCAGCAAATCCAAACTTCTTTCTTGCTCTTAGTGCAAGTCGTATGTTCATGGCCCATTCATCGTAGTTTGGACCACGCAATTGAGGTTGAGAAATCACAGATCCGGGATTATCTCCCGAAGTCAAATCGTATGGACCGAATCTGCGTCTCGTTGTTGTCGTCTCCGATTGTTTTCCTTTACCACTGGAGCCCGATGACATCCCTGAGAGTTTTGATGCATCATCGTCAGCCATGGTTTAGAGCAGAAAGAGTATTTTGACAGAGAAATCAAAAACACCAAGGTCAAAGAAACGAAACGTAAGAGAAACAGAATTTTATGTGTTTAACAGAGGATCGAAAAACCTAAACTCTTAGGTATTGCTCTGATACCATGTCAAGAACACCTAATTTGTGTAAAGGTTTTCTTAATCTTATTCATACGGCCAATGTGGCTTTTATACAACATACACAAAAACGTTTAACCTAATTCCTTTGTACACTAATAGCTTATGGGCCAAGTAATAACATATCGAGGTCCATTTAGCTAAATACAAGCCCATAACATCCGTAATAGAACTTCTCTCCCCTATCCCTTTAAAGCATGGAATCGTGACACTCGTCTCTCCATCCTATAATTAGCTTTGGAAGCGAGATTCTTCCTCCAGATTCAAAACAAGTGGAACCCTAATCGTCATCTCTCAGGCTATATCAACCCTAGCCACGTCTGGCCTCTTCCATCTCCTTTTTCTATTGTTTGATCATTTGTCGCAGGTTGACGTCTCTCTTTCTGTTTGAGTGTTTTTATCATGTTCTCAATTTCATGGTATCAATCGGGAATCTCATGGTCACATCTCACGTGTTTTCTGTAAATTATTTTCCTCCGTCATAGTTAAACCTAATATAAAGCATTTTGACATACAAAACCCCAATCAACATCTCCCTTCTCAAGCAGAGAAGCAAAAAATTGGTTGATTAAACCATAGAGTGATGTTCTTATTTCATTCGATGGCAGGGGATTCTATCAGATGATGTTCATGGTGATTCTTCTTATAATTTTGTTTGGGTCAGACGGAATACAATGATAAGTGTCTCCCAAGATGTTCTGTGAGTGTTTTTTTTTTCACCGTATCCTTAGTCCGAATTTTCCAAACTTAAGATCCATCGAATTTTAATCTTGAATATGTATGGTTTTGAGTGGAATGATTAAGATCGAATACTGTTTTATTCCTAGATTCATGGATTGTAGGTTTATTTATTGATTTTTACGTGTGCCCTTATTTAGAAAAGTTGGAAGCGTCCACTCTTTTATGTCAAGGTTTACATAATATTCTGGAAAACGATTATGTTTGAATGTCTTCTATTCATTCTCATGAATTCCCAGTTAATGTTAGTTAAGACGCTAATATTCGTGTGCCTATTGGTCTTAACAGGTTATGCAACTCCTAGAAGAAAAGGTAGAAGACCTTGAAATGCTAGAGCTGACCAGTTTAACAAATTACATAAGCGTTGATGGTGATGGCCCCAAACAGAGGCATTTCTGATATTCCACCTAATTAAAGATCTGTATGTATGTTTAGTTTCTCTGCCTCTTTTAATTTTTTTTTGCTTATAAGATCCTCTTGGAAATCAATGTTTATTTTATATATGTTTTTTTCTTTTTGTTGTTGACACCCATATTTCAAACTCACGCAAAGCCTCAACCGTTAGTTCAGCTGGTGAAGATTTTATCAGATCGCTTATACTAATTTTTAGTCTTTGTACGTGGTGATGGAGAACGTACCATTTTTGGCTCAAAAGGGGAACTTTATGGGGATTGCAATAGAGGAAGCATTCAAAAAGAAATTTGGATGCATGGGTGGATTGGTGTGTGGTGTGGTTATAAAGTGAGAGATTGATGTATTTTCTGCTTACCATCAGTCTCAAATGAATTCAGGTGTAAAATCAGAATAGCTATTACCCTTTGAGTTCAGGCTTTCTAAGAAAAAACAGCATATTGCATGAAACATGAAAGCTTAAATTGGAGAGAGACGGTTTTGGTTTCTTATAATCATGTTGATCTTTGTTAGTCTATCCTTGAGGTATTCTTCTCATTGGCTTCAAAATAAAATCATACCTTCAACTGTCTACATTTTTACAATGTTCTATGCTATTATATATTCGATAGCGAGATACAATATTTTGTTGGTGGAACAGCTCCACGGTGACCGTCGTCGACCATCTTTTGCTCCGGCTCCACACTTGTTTCCTGCTTCTTTCTCCTCTTACCTCGTGCCTCTGCGGTTGTTTTCTAGGGCTAGGTTGGGGTTTGCTTCTTTTCTATTCAATTGGGCCTATTGGCTTTGTCATGTTGCTTGTTGAAAATTTAGAAAACCGTCATAGATTAAAATGCCGAAAAACGTAACGAAAAACCCATCGTCTCTTCTTGCATGTTGACTTCCCACTAACTCCCATGTTTATGGCTCTTAGTTTTTCTCCACTAAAATAGAATCGTTTTGACTCTTTCAAATTCACTCCCACAACTTTAATTTAATATTAAACATTCAAAATTCCATTTGAAGTTAGTACTTATTTAATAGATTAAAGTGGGTACAATATAAAACTCCCAAAATATCATAACTATAACTAATAGGGTACAAATAGCGTTTTTTTTACTCATGCGATGTGTTGATCTTCGTTCTGTTTTAAAGCCATTAGGTTTCTACAATTTTGAGCTCGATCGGTACAGATGAGTTCAGAGTACTTGATGTAGCCATTTGTTGCATCGTATTTTGGCAAACATGCGACTACCAACAATACCAATGCTTTGTAATATGAGGTACATGTTACATGATTATAGCATCTCTGTCTTTACTCTTTATTTATTTTTAGCGGTGTAAAAATTTATTCTTTCAACCATAGACTGGCCCATTTTCAAGACAATCTATTCTACTTTGATTTTGAGAACTGCAAAATCGATCAAACAAATTCGAAAAATATTTGGTATTAATCTATTTTAGTTTTTAGTTTTAAGGTGCTTTCAGTGGAGTATCACTCCCCCTCTTTATATATATACACAATTATATGTATATAGAGTTTTTTTTATTGTAATGTATTTGTCTTTGTTGGTGCAGAAATCTTCTCATGGAGAATATAAAATCTTTGAATTTAAATAAGCTTAAACGTCAACATAAGATTTTCGCAAGAAAACTTGATATATTATGGTCAATTCTTCAGCTCTTCAAAGCTATATGTATATAGAGTTATTCAATGAGATTAATGTGTTAAAATGTTCTGTTGTTTACTTATGATTATTATGGTGGCATGATAATTTTGTTGTAGACACGGTACATGCTTGACCTGCTCTTTGATTCTCAAAACAAAGAGTAAATATTGCTTAAAGCCAATTGAGCTTTGTCAATGAAGTTATATATCATATACACAATAAGTTATTCATTTGCTGAATTCTGTTAGTGCCCAATCTTGTGGTCAATCTCTTTTGCAGGTCTTGAAGTTCCTAACATCTTGTCATCTTGGATATATATCTTTTATATCTATATCCCACCTATCATATATAGTGTGAATCATGATGTTGATGATGACAAGTATGAAAATCTGGTATACCAGGAGCATATGATTGGGATGACACAAGTTTAGGCGTAACCATGCAACAGTTGCATCCCAAACTAGATGTTGTGAGAGTTATGTGATGGATTAATTCTAGCACTCACCAGAAAATCTTTTTTATGCGGACATAAGTGGCTATAATAGTCATGAGGATCTTACCGGTCTCTTCTACAAACCTTTGCTCTATTTTTTTTTTTTTTTTTTTTTTTGCCCGCAAACACCCATTTTATTAAGTCTGAACCATAGAACTCTCTTCTAAAGAGAGTCTAACATGAATCATACAACTTACATGGGGAAAAAGAGATAGAGAGTCACGGAAAGTTGTTCGTAGACAAAACCTTAAAGCCCGGACAGAAAGACAACAAGCAAATAAGCTAATACAAAGCAAAAGATAAGGGATTCTAACAATCCATAAGATAGAGAGTGTCCTCTCGGAAGAAGACCATCCGGTCCAAACGACTACTAATAGTATATAGTTTCACTTGCAACAAATGTTTAGTTGACATCTTGAGTCAATATGAATATAATTTTGTAACTACATAAGATGTATCTAACTTTATAATAAAAAATAAAAAAATAAAAATAACTAACAACAGAAACTATCAACAGAAATTTTTTACACGCGTAGCGTGGGTACTCACCTAGTGGATTATAATAGTCAAAGATAAAATAACTTCCCTTGTTGAATACCTCATCATTTAGCTAGAGGCACATAGCCAATTGGCATTATTAAAACTTTTAATTATTATTAACAAAAAAACTATTAATTGTATTTATAGATGTAAAAATGTAAAAGTCAATAAATTATTGAATCTAATTTTGGAAATTGTTTAAGTTCAAAACATTAAATAAAAGGAGAATTTAATTTATCTTTATATTCAATTTTTTTTTTCATTTCGCGCGGTATTTAATCTTCATCTCTACGATCTTTTTAACTGTTATAGTTAGTTAGTTTACATAGCATATTAGTTTTCTAGGTTCAATGAATTTATGGTATATATAAAACATCAATATAGTAAACAAATTACCTTAATTTATATTAGTTTAAATTTAAATATTTGAAAGAGCGCGCGAATAGTTCAGATACTCCACTAGTATAAATACTCCCTAAAACTCAAATCCACTTCTGTTGAATGTCATTTGTCAGTTGAAAACGAAGGCGGCATTTTAAAATCACAGCTTATTCGCATTATATCTCAAATTGATGGCAGATTTCAAAATCTTGTATGTTGGTAAGATTATGAGTTCTATTCTAATGGCTTTTGTCTATCCTTCTAGTACTACTGACATGACTTTTTTCAACATAATTTTAGTCAATGTGTTTATTAATGCGACTATTCTCATATGTCAGGTTAAGCATTGGGCCAAGGCACATGAAGTTAACAGTGCGCTACACCGAACCCTGAATTCTTTATCTATAAACGTTGCTAGTCGCTCTTCATTTACAGGTATCAACTCAGTTACTCTTTTTGGATGCCCACCATACTTTACATTTCATCACTATAAGTTGCATTTGACTATATATCCAATAAGGTATTATTCAAGCGTATGAGTAACTTCGAATATAATGTTGGATAACTAAATGCGATTGGAATGTGGTAAAATTTGAACCAATAAATTCAGAGTCTAATTTGCTTCTCTTTTGTCTTATGCATGCACAGACTCTAAATGCTTCCATTTTACCTCCATTCTCTATGCTATTTAGAGGTAATAAAACAAAGTAAACGAGAAGTAGAGAACTATGATGGCTTTGTACTTTTGTCAAAATTCAGTTACATTTTGTATACTTGTCTTTTCTATAGATGGAATTGATCCTCCTAACGTGGAGAAAAGAACACAAATGTTATTAAACTGGGGACAACGTAATCAAGAATTTATCGGTAGACTATTTTGCAACCTTTTTTATTAAGGTGCTATCTTTATTAACTCAGCGAAAATAGTAATAATTTTCAAAATAGTAATATGAAAATGAAGAGTTTCGTCTTCTTGTTTTTTGACAAGTTAAGAGTAAAGACTGTCTTAAAGGAGTTTCAAATGCATTACTTTATCATTGGCGCTCAGAGAAAGATTTCAATTCTATTTCTACAAAACGATTATGCAAGTCAAAGATAAAAAGAACTTTCCTACCTTAATACCTCATCATTTAAGAGCATGTGGTAAATTGATATGAGTCAAACTAATACTTTTAGAAATCATTTAAATAATTTTTATTTTCATTTTTTGCGAAATTTACGATGTATTCACCATCGTTTTAGTGTTATACGTAATTATTTAGTTGCAATGCAAATTACTTTTCTTAGCCCGATAATTTGTTAGTCCTTTTTCTTGTGCACACCAAACTTATATCAAAATTAACTTGGATATAACAACACAAAGCCATAAACTCTTTGCTAAGGAGCTCACAAGTCGAACGTTTTTGAAACAAAGACAAAATTGAACAATAAAACTTGAAAACGATAAGATAGAACCTTCTTCAAGAGGGTTTTGAAATTGATCAGTTTGAAGTCGATCGACGACTCTCGGTCTTGCAATAAAATCAAAGATGATGCTATAGTTCTTTTGTCTTTGAAGTCGAACGAACAACAAGAACTCTTGATATCTCCAAAGTTGAGTTTTTAGAAAAAATCTCTCTTTTAAAAAGGAGGAAGATGAAATTTATCTCTCCATAATGTCTCTCTATAGAAGAGGAAAGTCTCTCTAAAGAAGAAGACCATTAGTCCTTTTCCAAATAAACGATTTACGATTAATTATTTACAAAAAAAATAATTTTGTTCCCTTATTCTATAAAATATGCTTAACACACAAATAATTAAAAAATAAAAATAAAAATCTAAAATGTTTTCTTAATATCAAATAGAATAAAGTTATAAAATCTTAATTTACATTAATCTTTTTAATAAACCTCGAAAAACCTACGTAATTGGGGTACTATTCTAGCTAGTATAAATACCGAAATAACCTACTTAGACAAAACCACAATTAAAAAAAAAAAAAAAAATTAAAGAGACAAGCCACCGTCTCTCTATCTCTCTCTCGCATTCACAAATTTGCGTCTCTTGCCCAAATAACCACAGTTCCCGTACGGGACCGTAAAACTGTATCATCTCCGACTAAGTTCGTCGCCGCCTTTTCCTCTGCCAAAAACATTCTCCGGTGCGTAACCTTACCTTACTTCTCAAAATTCAATTGCTTTCCTTCAGATTTTTCGTGGGTTTATACAAAACCCAGAACATGATCGAATCTATGCTTAAAAATTGAGTCTTTGTCTGATCTTATCCTCACAATAACTCGAACGCTATATATATAAAAAAAAGAGCTCCTTTAGATCTTAGTTTGATAATAATTAGGTTTTTAATCGAACCCATGCTTAAAAACTGAGTTTTTGTCTGATCTTTTATTCCTATTTGACTCCAATCTTTAATTTTATTAGTTTTGATGTGAATGGTTTCTATGTTATTGCAGGTTTTAGTATCTCTGCTTAAGGATTAGAGAGGTATTAATATTATGGACTCTCGAGGGAATGTGGCTGAGGAAAAGAATGTTTCGAGTAAAGGTTAATACTTTACCCTTTTGACGAAATTCTCTAGATTGTTTGTGTTCATGACAGATTGTTGAATGTTGATTTTTGTTTTGGTTTATGGATGTCAGCGATTCGAAAGAAGGTGAACAACACTGTGTCCATAGCATTAAAGAGATATAAGATTGATAGTTATGTCTTACTGGACCTTGATAAGGTATTAAATGATGTCTACTGCTCTTTTCGACCGGTTTCTGCTGATTACAATACTAGGAAGGAATTGGTGAAAAACCTTAATGCAATGGCTATAGATATTTATGGTAATTGTAAGATTTACTTGTAGTCTTTTTTCTTATCTTATTAAGCTTTGCTGATATCGAAAGTTAGCAGAGGTTTTATTTATTTTTGTGTTCGTTAGGTAATTTGGAAGAGAGTAGCCCGGTCCTTGAGGCGTATGGGTCTTTCGTGATGGATATGTATTCCTCTCAGAGTGATTTGGATGTGTCTATTAACTTTGGTAGCGGAACATCTGAACTTTCTCGTGAGAAGAAGCTCGAGATACTTAAAAGATTTGCAAAGAAGCTCCGGGCTCTGCAGGGTAAGATATTTTGTTCCATTCTTGTTGTTGATTCCATGATGGGAATGACTTTATCATTGGAAGCTGTTAAGGTGTATGCCAACTCCCATTATTGTTTTTTTATTTATCCCAAAAACCCCGACAGTCGTTACAATCAAGATGGAAATCTTTTTAGTATTTCCACGTGAAATTAAGTGACACGTGAATACAACATTCTTAAAATGATGAGTTTCATATATACTTCTTTTGTAGGAGAAGGGCATGTTAAGAATGTTGAATCTATCTTCACTGCTAAGGTGCCAATTGTCAAATTCTCTGATCAAGGGACTGGTGTTGAATGTGATTTGTCAGTCGAAAATAAAGACGGCATTTTAAATTCACAGATCGTTCGGATCATATCTCATATTGATGACAGGTTTCAAAAACTTTGTATATTGGTAAGATTTAAGTTCTATTCTAATGGCTTTTGTTATCCTTATAGTACTAGTGACTTGTGAGTTTTTCAACAGAATTTAGTTCTTCTTGTTGGCAGGTTAAAAACTATATAAATTTCTTGAATGACTAGAACTTTTTAGGGTTATAGATTTCTTATGAACTGCCTATGGTGTGTTGCTGTAGTTTCTTTCAAGTCTCTTCAGTTTTCATGAATTTTCAATTCAACAAAAGTTTTCCCAGTACTGACTAAGTTTTCAGAACAATTTTCTCTTTACTATTTAAGTGGAATCTGCAAGGCTCAGAGATTTTAATGAAGTAACCGCATGAATTTAAAATGCTAGGGACTGTTTGGCTAACTATAGTTTTCATATTGATGAAGTATTCAAAGTTCAAAACGAGCATATAGATTGTTTTTTTTGTTAACTCGGCCATAGATATGTGTAGTTGTGGTCAATATATGGGCTAATGTGACTATTCTCATATGTCAGGTTAAGCATTGGGCCAAAGCTCATGAAGTTAACAGTGCGTTACACCGAACCTTGAATTCTGTATCTATAACATTGCTAGTCGCTCTTCACTTACAGGTATCAACTCAGTTACACGTGTTGGATGCCCACTAGACTCTGTTCTGTTATTATTCCAGTTACATTTACAAGGGATGGTGGATTCTTTTAGGTAGAATTTTGACTTGTGCCCAAGTAGGTAGTTTATCTGGCTGTTTAATGGGGAATAAATTTTTTTCTTTTTCATGTGCTGCATTCTTTTTTACTTGTTGGATGAATTTAGTCTCTAAAAGAAAGTTAGATAAAAGTGTTTAGGTTTTTTATTGCATCATTTTAAGTTGCATGTGACTATCTGATCAGATACTATTCAAGCGTATAGGAACTTTGAATGATGAATGACTAAATACTTCCGAGTCTAATTTGCTTCTCCTTTGTCTTATGCGCAGACTCAAAATCCTCCCATTTTACCTCCATTCTCTATGCTATTTAAAGGTAATACTAGTATCCACACATTAACCTAAGGTGGTTTTGTTCTTTTTGAGGCGGTCATTTGTTTTCTGGCAGATTCAACATCTACAAAGTCTCTTTAGGCTTTTTTAAGCTTGTGATACTAATAGCACACTTAATGATTGTCAGATCTCAGATTACACTTTTAATACTCTTCTTTTAAAGTGCGTGCTAGGAACATATTCCTGTTTTCCGTTATGACATTAAGTGAGCCATTTCTTTTCCAGATGGAATTGATCCTCCTAACGTGGAGAAAAGGGCACAAAAGTTCTTAAACTGGGGACAGCGTAATCAGGAATCTCTGGGTAGACTGTTTGCAACCTTTTTTATTAAGGTGCTATATCTTTTTACCTTTAAACCCAAACACCAATTACAAAACAAGCTGCAGTACATTCTTTTGTTAAAATTAGCATTTCTGTCTTGCAGTTACAATCCGTAGAATTCCTCTGGAGGCAAGGGCTCTGCGTCAGTGTGCTGAATGGTCTTTGGATATCTAAAAAGTGGAAAAAAGTTGGGGTGGGATCCATTAGTGTAAGCTATAAAAAAAACTCTATTCAGTAAGATTACATTTGCATTCTTACGTTTTGTCTTATATCAGTTTTTTTTCCGTGTGTCTTACAGGTTGAGGATTTTACTAACGTGTCTCAAAATGTCGCAAGGCGGGTTAATGGTACAGGAGCCAAAAAGATATACAGCTCCATAAACAGAACCGTCGAAGACATCTTTGAATTCCTCAATGACAAGGTTGCTGGAACAGATCTCAGACATAGGTTGTTTGGCAAAGGAGCTGTTGTGCAGATTCCTCCTGGGACGCCACTTAATGGAAAGACCCCTGGAATACACAGGGTGTCTGGCCAACAAGCTGTTGTGGAGCCTCATCCTCCTGTGCCGCCGCTCAATGGCAAAATTGCTGGAACACATCGCAGACAGAAGGCGTTTGCCCGACAACCAGTTTTGGAGCCTCGTCTTCCTGTGCCGCCACTCAATGGCAAAATTGCTGGAACACATCGCAAACAGAAGGTGTTTGCCCAACAACCAGTTGTGGAGCCTCGTCCTCCTGTGCCGCCGCTCAATGGCAAAATTGCTGGAACACATCGCAAACAGAAAGTGTTTGCCCAACAACCAGTTGTGGAGCCTCGTCCTCCAATGCCACCACTCAATGGCAATATCGCTGGCACACATTTCAGACATAAGTCGTTTGGCCAACAAGCTGTGGTGCAGCCTCCTCCTCCTGTGCGGCCACTCATTGGTAATATCGCTGGAACTCATTTCAGAGATAGGTTGTTTGACCAACAAGTACTTGTGGAGCCTCGTCCTCCTCTGCCACCGTTCAATGGCAATATCGCTGGAACGCATTTCAGATATAGGTCGTTTGACCAACCAGCAGTTCTGGAACCTCGTCCTCCTGTGCCGTCTCTCAACATTTACTCACAGCAACTTCACAATAACTACAGAAACGGGTTCAGCAGTCCTCCTGAAGAACATTACAACAAAAGACTTTGTTTGGGAAACAGCTACAGAGCTCTAGAAGAAACGGGTCACTGGAGAGAGGAAGAGAGATACGAAGATCCCAGAGGGAAACGAAACAGGTATATCGGAAACTTTAATGAGTTTGAAGAGTTACGTGAAATTCCCCGGTTTGGAATCCATAGTAACCCTTTAGATGATCCTTATAGACAAGTCCCTTTGAATACTGGAACCCATAGTAACCCTTTAGATGATTCTTATAGACAAGTCCCTTTGAATGCTGGAATCCATAGTAACCCTTTAGATGATCCTTATAGAAAAGTCCCTTTGAATGCTGGAACAAATGGTCATTTGGTTCACCATAGGCATGATGGTAGATATAGTCGTGAAGAACCAATGCATGTGGGACAGTGGCAAGACTACAGTCGTAGAATTGGTCCGCCTCCTTATGGTAGAGTTAGTTATGAGAATTATCGTCCTCAAAACCTTAACCAACCTCATTTTGGTAGATCGTTTTACTAGTAGGGTTTTTGGTCAGCAAAGTTTAAAACCAATCACCAACCATTTTTTTAAAAGATGAATAGAAATTCATTTTAGGGAGGAATACAGGATTTTGGTACTTCGGTTTAAATGTGGGGATGTGAAATTGATGTAACTACAGTTTTGGGTGCTGAGAAAGTGTCTTGAATGTTGTATGTTACTGTTTAGCTGGGATATGAGTTAATTTTATGCTGGATTCGGTTAAAATTTGGATTGGAGGATTTTTAACCAATTTTATGTAATTTGTTTGTCTAAGGATGACTTAAATTTCATTCTTCGTTATGGTACTAGAGTTCGGGTAACACCAGTGATATGGTAAGAAAAAATCATCATTTGAAAATAAGTATTGCAAAGCTACTGTTTAGATCCTTAGTATCAACTTTAATTGAAAGAGAATTTATACGATTTAACACCAAAATAATGACTTCTCGATTCAGTAGTGTGATCACAATCGTGAAGAGACCACAATATGTTTAAAGTTGGATAAAAATCTCAAATCATCCAGAAGAGAAACCATTGAATCAAAATGATCACTAGTTTCTGTTTACTTGGTTATTTTACACCATTTCTTTGGCCTCGCCGTGAAAATAACCAATATGTTAAATAAAAGTTGAATAAAATCTCAAATCGTCAAGAAATAATACTTTGGACTAGCCAGAAAAAATGAGAGTGATATAACTCATAACAGTTAGCTTTGCTTGGCAGACTCTCTTGTCAAAATGAAATCAACTGCTTCCTCGACGGTGTCAACTACCTGAAGAAGTTAAACAGTTTCACATGAACACTAACTCGCAGGAATAATAATAAGGTTCTTTTAAAGGCTAAGTGATGATGTTGCTTACCAGATCAGCAGGAAACTCGGCATGGTTATCTTTTCCTTTGAAAACTCCGGTTCTTGTTAAGATTGAGAACCAAGGAGTCCCAGCCTGTCACACAGATTTACTTTTACCAGATTACTAAATGGTTTAAGGTAAGATTAGAGGAATGTTTTATGGTGAGATGACCAACTCTGTGTCTGAGAGAAAGAGTACAAAACCTGACGGGCGCCTCTGATGTCGATTTTAGGGTTGTCACCAATCATATATAGTGTTCTGAAGTGGTGACTTCCTTGGTTTGAAGAATGAGGGGATGTAGCGATTTCTTTCAGAACATCTTCTGCGTTCTTGAACACAAATGGATTTGGTTTGCCAAAAGATGTGTACTCCAGAGGGTTATCATGGATTCTGCAAGTATGTATCCAAACTCAATCACGCGAAACTGAATTTAATAAATGAGGAAAAAATGTGAACATATGGAAGGTGTGTGCTTGGTTTTGGTTATTACCTGTTGAAGATTGATTCTAACGCGATTCTAAAAGCTCCCATGCCAAGACGTTCAGTAGGAAACGCAGTCTGACTTTAGTTCACAATACATCAGTATCCCATATAGTAAATCAAAAGAATGAAGAAAAAACAACGGATTCACCAGGACCTGGTAATCTAAATCGTCACTGGCAAAGTACAAATGAGGTTGAGGTCCAATTTCTTTCCCAGGAAGTCCTCCAGTTCGTAAAATGTCACAAAGAACCTGACCAAAAGCATCCATCAGTACTTATTCACTGTGAGCACCAAATATTCTAACGAAGCTCTGCTGCCCCAACAAAAACTATCAGAATCTACATCTACCGCCAGAAACCATTTCAAATGCGTTTTATTTTTCTTTTGTTCCACATAATCGTGAAGCCAGTGATAGAAAAATAAAAAATCTACTTTGCCGTATATATTACGATGTGTGCTTATAAGAATGAAAATAACACGTATCAGATAAGTATCACATCTGAAAATATAGATATGTGAAGCAGGAGAAACCTGGATGTCTCGGCTCCAATCAACTGGATCACTAACTATAAATGCTGCCTGAACTCTTTGGGATAGAACATTTTCTCTTGATCTAAGTTCCTTGTGACCATCCTGCCCGAACATCAATTTCTTATATGGCGCCAAGGGATCAATGTTGTCAAAGTAAGAGGCATATTCGTCCATTGAAACGACGTTTCTGAAAAATACATGCACATATATAATCACCTGAATAGAAGTTTGAAGCACAAACAAACGAAAATCAGAAAACTCAAAGTAGAGCCCTGAGCTTACTTGAAACCATAATTAGACATCACCGCGGCAGGTTCCCCTTTTCCAGCTGCAACAACTAGCTCATTTTCAAACCTAGTCCAAGCAATCATTAAACAACTTTCTGACAAAACCAAGGAATAAAAGTGATAAAATCGAAGGCTATTGGTGCATCCTTAATTTATCATAAGATTGTTTGCAAAGTGCCTAATCCCTATGTGAAATGATTATTCATGTTGTAACCCTATACTGCTTGCAAGCTCTGATACTCCAACCGATTAACCTTATAAATACTTGATGTTAAAATGAAATGGCAGATGTTGTGACTTACCTATTCACTAGCTTCCGGAAAGGTGAATGTCCTTGTACAACCTGAAACATGAACATGTCGAAGAAAGTACATCAAAAAGTGTTACAATTACTCAAACTAGCTTGTTTATTATTGTACCAATCTGCAGAAAGAATATAGAAAAGAAGTGATGTGACAAGGTTTCAACCTGCAATGGAGAAACATGAACACCTAATAAACGACTCATCTCAGAGGCCCGTTTAGATTCGGGCAAGCCACCTCCTGCCACAACCAATGACAAAAGCTGATGTTAACTATATAATTCACTCCTTTGACTCATTCTGAGATTCATAACAGAGACTCACCATTAGTCAAGAATAAGAAAGGTATCTTCAAAGCACCTGCAAAAGAACCACAAGAAACCTCAAAACTCATCATAGACAGATATACAAACTCTACACAAAATCTAGCACAGTTCGATGAATAACATGTAGAAGAAACTACATTTAAACCTAGACCAGTAACAAAGTGCATACCGGAATCATCGTAGAGTCGTCGGAGAGCACCAGGAGAGCCACCAACGGGAGAGGAACCAAGAAGAATAACTCCATCGATATCGAATGCAATGCCAAAAGACGAGCTGTGAATTTTTTTTTTGTTGTTGTCAGAATCAGAAAGAGATGCAATAATGAGGAAAGGAAGGAACACAGCAGCGGGAGAGGAGAACTCACCGATTCGATTCCGGTGAGATGTTACTAAAGAAACGAGACGGTGATCGGAGATTAAAATCCCGCCGCCGCAGCGAGTTTCTCGCTAAGATTCGAAGATGATTCATCTTAGAAGCCGGCGGAGAGAAAAAAAAAAAAGCCCTCTCTTTTAAAAAGGTTAATTACAGTTTTAGCTATATACTTATATTTTCTTCGACATTCGACCTCAAAGTTTTGGTAATAACAATTTCATCCCTCATTCAAAACTCAAGATTTTTTTTACTTTTTTTTTTTCATATGAAGTATGAACTGTACATGGAGATAAAAATCAAAACGGGTAAACTTCTAAAGAAACATAATTACATATATTACATATTTACACAGATACAAAAATATTTACCACAAACTTTGTATGAAACAGAGTAAAACTTTATAACACATCTTCACTAGCCTCCTCTTTTGATGTCTCCGTCGTTGTTGTTTTGTTTCCCTGATCCGACTAGATCACGAGCGATCATTGTCTTGATTCGGCCTCTTCTCGGATGCAGCGCGATCGAGGTCGCTGATCTTACTAGATCACGAACAATCATGATCTTGATTCGGCCTCTCTTAGGAGGAACGGTTGATTCCTCCTTTCTTGAGTTGTAAGGAGATGGAAGCTCCATGGTCGTAGTAGTATCTAAGAAGTAGAAAGAAATCAAAAGAGTGAAGCAGAGAAGCCAATTCGAATGTGAGTAACGAAAAGTTGAGAGCGAGGCTATTAAATAAGGCTTTGAGACACAACACTCGCAAAGTCACAGACCAAGTCTTTTCAAGACCAATTCTTTCACTTGCAGAGCAAGCTACGTAAGGTTAATTTGGTAAATCGAATAGAGATAATGTAATTAAATTCGTTAACATGTGTGATCTACAAGGTTTTATCAGTTTATGATTGGTGAGTTGATGTGGCAATGGAGACACGTGTGAATGTGATCACTCTCGTAACGCGCTACTACAGTCGTTGTCGCTGACTCGCTGGTTCTAAGTAGAATTAATCTCAAACCTCTTAATAATTTTCTATAATAGATAAGGATTAACTCACATTAAATATGATTAACAGGAATGCAAAACATGTAATTGTTCAAATTCTCTACTCTTTTTTCTTTCCTATTTAATACCACACTGCAAAATTTGTTCAAATTTGACAGATGTAAGTAGTTTTATCTTCCTTTGTATCATCATCGCTACAAGTGAATCCAAAATTGATGACACTTGTTAATTGTTATGTTACGCTTTGTGCATGTCCCAGTTTGGTTTGGTCGAAGACCCGTTGGCATCATTTTTTTTTTTTTTGACATTCGTTGGCAACTTGGCATCATTTTTTTTTAAGTTATGACATGTAACAACTTTACAAGGAAAAAACAAAATTTTTCTAGATAATAATGAGATTAATAAGTAAAAGTATCTTCTAACAAAAACTTTTTTCATACGTGATAACATCGATCAGATTACATCTTACAAAGTATGTACATAATTAACATTAATACAACAAAAAAAGTATGTACATAATTATTTACAATCTCGCCTCTTCTTCCACAGTGAACCGATCGAAGCTATCGATTTGCAGAGTTTGCGAACTATCATAATCTTGACCTGTCCTCTTCTCGGAGGAAGCCATTGCTTGGTTCTACTAGAGCTGTTGGGAGACAACAACTTCATTATTAAAAACTATTTTAAGTATCACTAAAACAAGAGAGAATATGAGAGAGAGGGAGATAGAAAGAGTTAGTGAGGTGACAAAAATGTCTGAATGTGAATGAGAAAGTGAGAAAGTTTTTTTATAGAGAGAGAGCAGAGAAGTTCTGTTATGGTTTTTTCCCTTGGTGGCTAAGCAAACATTTATTTTGGTCAAGGCAATTTTTGGTTATAAGAAGAACGTATCGGAGAAGCAGGAGGGCATATTTGGTATTTTCTCGTCAGAAATTTGTAAGAAATTTTGTATTCAAAAAAATAAATTTGTAAGATAATTAGTTTACATACATAACAGCTTTGATTGGTAAATCCATACAACTACAGTATGGGATGTACCACTTTGACAGTTACCAATCACAAAAACGATATCAAAACCGTTAAAAGTTTTACTTTCAGTTTTTTTGTACAGCTTTTATGTACCAATGTTTTGTACAGTTTTACACTATTCTTTAAAAGTTTACTAAAATAGTTGTACAGTTTTGTGTTACTAATCAGATCCAACATCTTACGACTTTTTGTAGAAAATATGATATACTGATATCAATAAGCATTACATAAGCTGCAAATTATAAAAAAAATTGGTTGTCTAATTTTTTTGTGAATACAAATTAGCGAAATTATTTATTTTGTAGATTTTAAATTTCGTTTTCAACTTATGGTAACGTTGTTTATTGGAAATTTGTTATCGAGCGCATGTGTGAACGCATTCAACTTGAGTGGTATGGTCATTGGTCACTTTCAAATATGGGACCAAGGCGAAAAAAATATATATATGGGACCACGGACACAAATAGTGGAGATGTATATACTAAACCTTACTAGTACTTGGCCTAGAGTCAATATCCCTCTCCCCATTGAATTTCTATAAGCTAACGTATTAATTCACAACTGATATTTCGGAGTATGAGATTCATATGTTTCAACAAACTAGGGAAAAATTTGTTTTCTCATTGCACCAAAAGTTAGCAGACAATTATATCTACATCATCGAGACCTAAAAATGGCAAATTTAATGAATCAATCACGAAAGAAAGGTTTGAAAAAATTATATACAGATCATTTTGACCCTTAAATCGTAATTAGTACTGAACCATAAATCTCAGACCGGTCATGATGCTACGGAAACCGCCAATGGGAGAAGAACCAAGAAGAATAACACCACTGGTGTCGAAATGCAATGCCATAAGACGTGTTGTGTTGTTTTGCCAGAAGAATGGAAATGAGGAAAGTATAAGTATAATGCACATAGGAGCGGGAGAAGAGATTGCACCAATTCGATTCCGATGAGAGGTTATATAAGGAACAAAGTGTTGATCATAGACTAACAATCCGTTGTGGTAGAGCGAAGATTAGTAGATAATCTTTTTTACTTAACCTAGAAAGGAGCAAAGAATAAGATTGGAGGAAAAAGAAAACTAGACACTCTTTTTCAAAAGGGTTAATAACAATATGTACTTGAATTTTCAACGACATCAGACCTCAATTTCAATTTCATCCCTCAATCTAAATAAGATTTTTTGTTTGACTTCATCAAGATAGGATATATTTATCATTCACATTTCATATAAATGGCACATCCAAATAAAAATTCAACTAGTTAAGCTTTCTAAAGAACCATACTATTTGTACACAAATAAAGATACAAACAATATCATCATACAAGATTCTCAGATGACTTTGAAGATAGGCACACAAAGACTCTCACACAAGTCATAGACCAGTTCTTTTCACTTGCAGAGCAAGCTACGTAGGGATAATTTAGTAATTCGAATAAAAATATCGTATTTGATTAGAGCTGTACTTAGATAGAAGGAGATTCCAATCGCTACCGAGGTCACAGAGGTTGCTGTGTTCCTTAGAGACTCAGGGAACTCTCCATATAACACTGCTACATTCGCCATATAATGGAAGGCATCGCCAATTCCAACTATCACGGAGGAGGAAAGAGCCACAAAACTGACATTAGATGCTCATTTTCAACTGTTTTTAGTCTTTTTGCTTCCATGATGGCGGAGATTGCCATGCTCAGGATGTTGAAAACTTGGCCTATACCGACTTGTTGAAGCGGTGTTAGCTGTTTATTGGTTATCTTCTGATACATGGGATAGATAGTCCAATTTATTGAGCACAAGAAAGACGCATGAAGAGATGAGTACTATTACTTGTAGAGACCCGGCCGGGACTTTGAATTTAGAGCCGAGTCCTCGGTCTGTTACCAGAGCTTGTGAAGGGACTTCCCATTGGTTTTTCATGCTTGTAGAATCTCTTCCCGGAGATAAAAACGATGAAACTGATCAAATTAGCAGCTGCACAAAGACCGAACCCGAGCTTTCAGCTAGCGTTCTCCTGCGTATACACAATTGCTATCCCGCTAACAATCGCGTCTGTATTTACCGTAAGGAAGTACCAGTGGAAGAAGGTTCCTTTGTGTCCAGCGGTCACTAGAGCTAAGGCTGCATACAAGATCCCGAGGTGGAGTTTTGATGGGGATTGGCATAGGATTGAACCATCCATAAGAAGTCACTGAAATACCTAACAACGTGGCTGCACCACATAGAACCCCACAATAGTCAACATTTTGAGGATAACTTTTATTTTTTAGCAACATATAGACCAAAATCCAAAACCACTCTGTGATGACTATAACTAAGTCTCGCATAGACAGAAAAAAAAACACACACGGCTAACCTATTATGAAAGGAAATGTGATCCAGCCACCGCGCTTGCAATCACCAGAGATCTGCGCTTCTGTTTCATCACCAGATACCGAACCAGCCATGACGAAACAGAGTAAGCTGAGAAATGATTTCAATGAAAATAATGTGTCATCGGTCTTTCTTTATCCATGACAATCAAGTTTCTGACAGCTAGTGAATATTAAAAAGACTTGACTAAACAACCATCGAGAGTCACATGCATCAATCTTCAACAGTTTCATCCACTAGTTATTAATAAACATAAAACACACAATCTTCAATAGTGAGTCTGTATGATTGGTCCACTGCATGAATTAACACAAACTGAAAGATGGTTCCTTGATACTAAACTTCATGAATTCATTTATTTCATTGTGATTTTCAGGTGAATCGAAAATAAATATAAACGGCAAACAATGAGTTTGGACGGAGCACAAAAGATATTTATTGGAGAGACATAACTACAATTTAGAGAAAACTAAGACAGAACATTTGTGTCTTTAGGTTGTAATATCTTTTGGATCTTGTTCTTGATCATCATTCTTGAGGTTTCTGTATTTGTAAAACCAAGAGCAGACAAGGAAATAGGTGAAATTCAAGACTCCTATAATGACTAAAACCCAGTACACATTGTCAACTCTTCCGTGGTTTATGTCATTTGGTAACCACTTGGTGGTCCTCTGGATCAGATCGATAATAGCTGTGCATAGATAGAAAGAGATTCCAATCACCACCGAGGTCAGTGAAGTCGCGGTGTTCCTCAGAGACTCGGGGAATTCTCCATAGAATACTGCAACATTCGCGGGAAAATGAAAGGCCTCGCCTATTCCAACCATCACAAGAGCAGGAACTAGCCATAAAACTGACATAGGATGGCCATTTTCAACTGATTTCAGCCTCCTTGCTTCCACAACGGCTGATATAGCCATGCTTAGGATGGTGAAAACGTGGCCAATCCCAACTTGTTGAAGCGGTGTCAGTGGTTTGCGGAATAGCTTCTGGTACATGGGATATATTAACCAGCTGTTGAGCATAATAAAGACACATCCAGAGATGAGTACTATGACTTGTAGAGACCCGGCAGAGACATTGAAGTGCGGGCCAAGTTCGCGGTCCATGACCAAAGCTTGGAGAACCGTCATGCTCATTTGCACTGCCACAGGAGTGCTGAGGAACATGACGGCTGCCCAGAGAGGGACAAGTCGGAGAACGGCTTTGAAATCTTCTACTTCTTGAACAGAGCATATCCTCCACATGTTAGTAATTGAGTCACCACTCGGGTTTAAATCTTCGTCGGTCTTCAATGCTGCACGGTTCAAGAACCTGCACATGTAAAGCTCTTTTAGTTCTGGTTTAGGTTCTATGAATCAGGCAAGGTTTCGGTCTTCACCTGAAGGTCTTGGAGGGCATTGTAGTAGAAGTCTTGGCCTCTTTTTTGAGACCATAGTGATGATAGTCTTCGTCTTTCGATGAAATCACAGCCTTTCTTTTCATTGTAGCAGCAACTAAAACGCGTATCAGGCTTGTATAAGGACTTCCCAAGGGCTTGTCATGCTTGTAGAATCTCTTCCCGGCGATGAAAACGATGAAACCTATCAAATTAGCAGCGGCACAGAGACCAAACCCAAGTTTCCAACTAACATTGTCCTGTGTATATACAATTGCTGTTGTGCCAGTAACCGCTCCGATATATAATGAGACGAAGAACCAGTTGAAGAAGCGTCCTTGTTCTTTCGGTTTCTTATATTGGTTCGCACCTGCGGCTGCCAAGGTGAACCGCGTCCCAGCTGATCCAATAATCACTAGAGCTAAGGCTGCATACAAGATCCCGAGTTGTAGTTTTGACGGCGACTGGCATAGGATTGAGCCTGTTTCACACGGTCTAGGTATCAAGTAGTCCAAAGATGTGATTAAGGTCAAGATAGAGACTCCCTGAAAAATGTTTCAAAACTGGTAAACTTTGTATATCAGAACACATAAGAGAATAAGTGAGTGTTAAACTTACAATCAGAGAAATGAAAGCGGAGACCGAGATGACGGGAATGTTCCCGAAAAAGGAATCGGCTAGGATGGCTGCAACAACAGGCAACATGTTGACAACACCATTGACAATATTTGAAATCTGAGCAGCAGCAATGTTCTTGATGTTGAATTCCTCGATCAAAAAGACGATCAAGTTCATTCCCCATCCGAAAGAAGTTATGGACATGCCTAACAATGTAACTGCACAACATAAAAATTCACAATTATCAACATTTGTTTATGTTTTGGTTTTAAAAAACATAAACAAAAAAAAGTTCAAAACACAAACCGAGCATGAATGGTAAAGTGATCCAGCCACCACGCTTTCCGCTTTGATCGCTAGAGCGATGCGCTTCTTTGTCACCGGAGTTTGAATCAGCCATGGCAGAGAACAAGAGGAAACAGGAGGTAAATGCAGTTATAATGCAAAGTTGACTTGCGTTTGTGTGTTATAATGCAGTTAGATAAAAGCCTTAAACTATATATAAGCAAGTCCATCACAATAATTATGTTGGTGCAATGATTTGTTAATGCTCTTGTTTGGTCCCAAAAAGACCTAATCAGATTCTGACAGTCCATCTACTGCTGGTGAATGTTATAAAAAACATTAAAATTATTTGACCAATTCTTCAATAGCAGTATCCATTACCAGAAAACTATAAAAAAAGAAAGAAAACGTTGAATAATGTTTATAAAGAATTAATATACTCACGTCAAACATTTGTGTCAAGATAGTTTATATTAGCTAATACAGAAATGTTTTTCTTTTTTCCAAATAAAAAAAAAATCTAACAACGTTCCTCACGTTTGAAACTCTGTTTTCGTTCCCACAAATTAGATTGGTTCTCTAAAAGAGCTCATGAAGCCAAATCTTGAGGTCAAACAAATCACGAAGCCATGCTACCCACATTTGTATTAATAATTGCTTGAATATTTCTGCAAATGACATCAAATACATTTTATATTTTAAAAACAATAAAGAGCAAAAAAATTTGGATCATTTCTCCATTTGTGCGTGTCATCCTTGCGCAGGGCCATGCTAATCTTCTCTGTATTGTTCCAATTTTATCAGATGTCCCCGAAGGGACAGACTATATGCCTTATGTTGATGTATATATATACGTGGTTAGAGCATGCAACCGATGTGGGATATATATGTTAGATGATTAAGATTAAGTAGTATACTAATATCGGCCCATTGGAGCTAGGATATTATAATCATGCACTACATACTAATTTTAGTTATGAGTTATCTCTAGGTGTAAATGTTAGAATTCAATGTTTTATTAATCCAAGGCCGTAGTACCAGACGAGTATCAAAGTTAGCGTTTGTGTCAAGACTAATATTATCTATACTATTAATTGGGAAGCATTGGATAATAAATAACCTTATGAAGGGTAAAGAATTACAAAAAATGCCATTGGGATAATTACAATCAAAGAGTAAATGAAAAAAATCGTTGAAGGGCAAAATCATAATTTACAAGCAAAATACCCATGGATCTTGGGCGAGTGGATCAGATAAACACGCGGATTCTGGGCTTATTTGGCGGATCGACACGCGGATCATGGACCCGACCCGGACTGTTGGAATATGGCAATTTTGGAACAATCAAGCGGATCCTGTAACAAGCAATTTTGGTTAAGATTTGGCAATGTTGTTATTAGATATTTCTTGCAATATACTAAAAATTATTTTGAAACCAAAAATGACATATATCATTTAAGATATACCCAAAACAAACGTATCCCTTTAATTTCGAATATAAAATAAGGATAGATAGTAAAAGTAACAAGATTTAGTTTAAAAAATCTCCAAATTTGATGGTTGTTTTCGATATGATACGAATTCGGATAATATATTTACCAAAAATAACAATAACTAAATATTCATAACCTAACTAATCAAGTATATACCTTAAATCTTTCTTCAAAAAATGGATTCGCAAATATTTTATTCCATATATGATACTTTAAACCCTAAAATTAGCTAGCCGACCTTTCTCCCTATAAATATAGAATGTCTAATACCATTGTATTTGCTCACTAACCTTTCAAACGAAATCTTTTATGTTGTTGTTGCCACTCACAAAAAAGTTAGCTAGCCGATCCTTCTAAGAGTTCTTAAAGTTGGAGAATATAGAGTTATTGTGATGGCACATGGTTTTTGTTTCTTAGTTTCTTTAATTGGTTGTAAACTTTTATTATCATGTATGATGATGTCTCTATTGCTATTGCTCTAATACACATTCAAGATGATTCAAGAAGAGAATTTACCTTTGCTGTAGCTACTTCTCAAAATCGATTGCTATCGAATTTCTAATGCCAAAATATAGCACTCTTCAGCAGATGTTCTTTTAACATTGTAATGATTTCTGTATATTCAAAAAAAAAAAAAACACTCAAAGCAGTGACTATGTGACCTTAATAATTATGAACTGTCAAATTTGAAACAAAGACTAAGCAATATTTCTTTCTTCTCAATTGTTTACTATTTCTTCAACCATAAGATCAAGAGATGCTAGCTCTAAGAATTAAAAGCTGAACAAAGTATCACGAGCAATAATAAAAATGTCCATTCCAAAGTAAATTTTAGTGGATAGCTAAAGAATGCAATTGGAAAGAAAATTTCAAAACCATGAACGTGAATCATCCATCATCAATATCAAAAAGAGTATGACAAGGGAAAATAAAGCATTATATTTTGACAAAAATATATTTACCGGGTTTGCAAATGTCTGATCTCCCATTTTGCGAGATGGTTTAGCTCCTGCAAACAAAGGTAGTTGTTACAGAGCCAAAGATGTTATGGACTTGATATGTTAAGAGCAATAGCTATATAGGTATCAAAAATTAGCCACAGGACATTAACTTCAAACCTTATTTGGGCTAATCGGATCTTAAGGTAATGGCATATACAAATTCACATGAAATATGAACCAATCTTATAAATGAACTTTTTTTCTACACTAGACGAACAATTACATCATACAGACTTGTGGTCAGTACTTACGATCTTATTCAAGAGTGATGATTAATTGATGAAATCCTAATCAAACCCAATTGATAAAGATCTAAAATTTCCACAGAACACAATTGATAAAGATCTAAAATTTCCACAGAACAGAACAAATTCAACATCAATTCAACACTGGATTTTAGGAACAAGGAACCATTGTAATGGAACATGCACTGAATTATCTTTAAAGGAGGAAATTTTAAACGTTATCCATGATTGAAGGAGCGAGCCATTTGTAACCAGCGAGACCCAAAGTAGTTAGAATCGCGAATAAAAGACCAAGCTTGAACATAACCACACAGATCTATCCCGTCCACAAGAAGAAAAAGAAGACGGTGATAAAGAATCTTCTTCCTCTTCATGCTCTGCTTCCTGAGAAATACATCGAAGTCCTCACTAAGTTTAATATAATGGCCTAATTTCTGAACTACATCATCTTCAACTCTAACTCGCAGTTCAGAAACCGCATCGTCCTCCTCGCGATAGGTGAGTAAACCAGAAACAAAAACGGAAAATAAAAACCCTAGATTACTAATCGACTAGATTCTCTGATCGTTGATGGAGAAAATGATTTACTCTATTAATCGAAAGAACCCTAAGCATGAAAGAACAAAAAAGAAGAAGATTTGTGTGTTTTGGGAAAGAGAACGAATTGCAGTACCAATTTTTTTATTTTTTATGGTGTCTATTGGAAATTGATTTTCTGCTTAATACTGCATAAGAGAAGAGAAAACGTCTAGAAAGTCCCTATCTCTCAAACAAAAAGCTCAAAAAGTGAAGGTGAAGAGAGTGAGAAAAAGAAGATGGATAATACCATCATGATTAAGCAAGAAGAAGAAGAAAAGAAGTGTTCGATGAAGAAGAGGAGCTACGGGAGAAAAAACGTGTCGTTAGCCACTTAACAAGAAAAAGGTTTTTGGGCCAATATGCAAAATAGGCCCAACATAAATATACATAAAAATATATTAAAAAAACAAAAAAAAAACATAAAACTATACAACATATATTTCTATTTCCAAAAGTATAAAATTACAGACTTAGGATTTATTTTTTACTATAAGATATATTTATAAAATTTTAGTAATATTATAAAACACAAATAAAACATTTACGGGTCGTGTAGTAAAGTGAGAAACAGATCGAATAACGAGATAAGTATTACAAAATATAAATACTCGATACTCGACCCTTATCTACCGGCCACAAGTAATAGAATTACAATATCTTTTACCCGACCCTAAGATCACGACTACCCTTTTCTTGAGACGGGTACAAATCGGGCAACAGATTGAATACATGTAACGGGTATCTAGCCTTAAATGTTATATACATATAAGAATTCAAATACAAATAAAACCCCGCACGTATGTGCGGGTCCGGATCTAGTTTATTGGTAAAAGAAAACACAAACGGCAAACAGTGAGTTTGCAAAACGAGGACAGAACATGTCGTGTCCTAGGTTGTAACATCTTTAGGATCTTCTTCATGATCATCATTCTTGAGGTTTCTGTATTTGTAAAACCAAGAGCAGGTAAGAAAATAGGCAAAATTCAAGACTCCTATAATGACTAAAACCCAGTAGACATTGTCAACTCTTCCGCGGTTAATGTCATTTGGTAACCACTTGGTGGTCCTCTGGATCAGATCGATAAGAGCTGTGCTCAGATAGTAAGAGATTCCCATCACCAACGAGGTCAATGAAGTCGCGGTGTTCCTCAGGGACTCAGGGAATTCTCCATAGAATATTGCAATATTCGTGGGAAAATGAAAGGCCTCGCCTATTCCATTAATCACGAGAGCCGGAAGAAGCCATAGCACTGACATGAGATGGCTATTTCCAACTGTTTTCAACCTTTTTGCTTCCACAATGGCGGATATCGCCATGCTTAGGATGGTCAAAACATGGCCGATCCCGACTTTTTGAAGCGGTGTCAGCGGCTTGCCGATTAGCTTCTGATACATGGGATAGGTAGTCCAGTTGTTGAGCATGATAAAGACACATCCAGAGATAAGTGGAATGACTTGCATAGACCCAGCAGAGACTTTGAAGTGCGGGCCAAGGTCGCGGTCCATAACTAAAGCTTGGAGGACAGTCATGCTCATTTGTATGATGATGTCTCTATTGCTATTGCTCTAATACACATTCAAGATGATTCAAGAAGAGAATTTACCTTTGTTGTAGCTACTTCTCAAAATCGATTGCTATCGAATTTCTAATGCCAAAATATAGCACTCTTCAGCAGATGTTCTTTTAACATTGTAATGATTTCTGTATATTCAAAAAAAAAAAAAAACACTCAAAGCAGTGACTATGTGACCTTAATAATTATGAACTGTCAAATTTGAAACAAAGACTAAGCAATATTTCTTTCTTCTCAATTGTTTACTATTTCTTCAACCATAAGATCAAGAGATGCTAGCTCTAAGAATTAAAAGCTG